TTATTTCTTCCTCTGGCATGTACTGTTAGATGTCGTCAGTCCGCCTATGTAAACACGAATGAAATTAAGAACAAGTTACCCAGGAACGCGAAGTCTGCGAAATTACTCTTTGTTTAAGAAAACTATTACTCGTTTTTGCATTCTGAAAAACCCACAATTTTTGGGTGCTGAATCCACCAAACGAGTCTGCCGTAGTCATGGAGTTCGTGATCTCCGATCTCCTTATCCGGTCACATCTCGTGAGAGAAGGTGCTAACTCTACAGCCTGCAGGACTACGGACATTCTTAAGTCCAAAGCGAACAATGAATCACACATGCCCTCTGCTCCGTGCGGCTCCACTGTTATGAAAAGAACAAAGACAAAAACATCCGATGCAATCTTAACGGTTCATTTTTTGGCCGGTTGTTATTTCGCGGGCAGCTGTTTTTTTCTCCTGAACCATCTGAACTATGCGAAAACACCACCACCGCTATTTAATTCCTCGGAAACTTTTTTCACCACTGACCCAATGCGTGCTTTACTAGTCTTTGACAATGCCCGTAAACTAACACCAAATAAAATTGTTGTCACTCTTATGTGGATCATCAATTATACCGTAAATACTCCTTGTAAATATGCCTTCTTATGAAATGTCAGTCAGAATTCTGAAATGCGTTTCCAGTGCCGAAAGAATATCGTAGTATGGTTATCGTGTAAATTGTCATGTCGCATAATGCCACGGTATCGCAGTCTTCTGAGGATGCCGACTTCCAGACTAGCTCCTTGCCCATCACCTGTGCAAGATGCATTGCGTATAAAATAGCCGCTTAAATAGTATGTATTTTTTGTTGATTATCGGTGCTACTATAAAATCGGATGTAATTTTTACGGGGAACGCACATAAGAAGTTCTTTTTTGCAGTCAGTTGGTAGCAAAATAAATCTTTTTGGAAACGGTACACCAAAAAAGATATCACTCACCTCTCAAAGGGTTTCTGATTGTGAGGTTTTTCGAAACGGTTAAATGTCCAGTAACGCAGACTTGCAATAGTTCGTTTGTTGATGCTGCCTATGAAGTATACTACGTTGTCCATAAACATCGCAAAAATCTGAATCTTGTGTATCCTCTTTATGATCGCATATAGAAATATATGATCTTTCTTGCATGAAAGCAAGCTTAAGGGAGGCTCACTGTCGAAAGTAGTCGGGAATTGGGTAAGATTTCTAACATTGAAAGAGACTCCCTTGAGTATAAAACTTGAAAAAAAATAATTTCGCAGCAAATGACCAAAAGAGCGATTGTTTCTATGCATTTTTTTAAAATATAGAGTCTGTTTGTATTTACAAGGGTGTAGAAAATCAATGAGGATAAGCCATGCTTTGTAGGTAGACAGTATTGACGGGGTGAAGTTTGTACATTAGTCAATTAGGGACACGTTCGTTAACCAGCTACCGAAATTGATTGGAGTACCTTAACCGTATGCGACACGACAAGTAATTTTTCAGTCGTAAGTAAGTAATCTTTTTAGAATGTCAGCCAACAATTTATAAGGTAGGAGATCTACTGGTAGTCCTCTTGCAGCGGATAATACTGCGGGGGCATATACGAACGCAAACAGTATGGGCCCTGCTGATAGAAATTCTGCAAGTACGACTGCTGTTATACGTCAAAGTGTACCACAACCAGAAAACCACTACCGGCAATGACAGAGTAGATTAAAATATCCATTTCGGGCTTATTATCCGTCGTCAATCAGCAAAGCCAATTTCCAAATTATGCAACGCGTGAAGACACAAATGCACCATTTGTTAGGTAGAAGTTCAACGCTATAAACTTTTAAGCAGAAAGCGGTTGTCCTTTTGGTAATGGTGGGGTAAATAGACAATGGTAGTTAGACGCTCGCGGACTGAGTTAAAAAGCGAGGTTATCCCGCTGAGTGTGGAAGCTCTCTACACAGTCCAGTTAATAGCAGCGTCGTGGCGCACACTGTTGACAGAATAACATTACCGACAAAGACAAGGATACGGGGATGACTATTTTTTGGCTTGATAGTCGTCACCGACCAACTGCATCAAGCCCCGAGATATACACCCTCCGAGGCTGGAACTAGACTATTACTAGAACTAACGGCCACTACTGGCAGTGCCGCGAGTACTGATGCCGGGGCATATACCACTATCCCGACAGCCACTAACACTGCTGCAATGACTATTCAGTTCACTTCAGTTTATTTGGTAAGAATAATAGGCAAGGTATTTGAAAACTCTAGCGATTACATGTCAGCTCGCTAGGTACAACTGTACACGGACAATGTAAATATTCCCTATTAAAACAGTACTTGATTCATTTGAGTTGCTCTGTATCCAAACACCCAGATCATTTTGTGAAGATTCTGCGGGAAATCTAATGTTTTTCAGGTGATATGTCCTCAGGCTCTCATTTGAATGACAGTTTTTTGGACGCAGATGAAGGACGGCACACTTCTGCGAATTGAAATCTAGAAGCCATTTCTTCGACCACGTTTGCTGTCGATGCAGATTGTTTTGAAGGGTCTTCTGGTCATTTGGACTCTTAATGACTGGCCAGCGCTTGACGTCGTCGGCCAACATTATTTTGCCACAGTCGAGCTACTGAAGGCCGTCATTAACATAAAGGACGAAGGACAATGGTCCCAGAACTGAGCCTTGAGGTCCGCCACTAGTCACGTTCATCCAGTCTGAAATATCATATCCGATACAGCACGTTGCTTCCGACCAACCAGAAACGCCCTTATCCAACGACGGCACCTCCTTGGAAGATAGTTCTGGTGAGATGTCCTTCGCATCCAGAACCTGTGCTTGCTCCACCTGCGCTTCCAACCAACAACCTGCAAAGGGTGCCAAAAGCGTAATTACCGCGAAAATTGTGAGGTACAAAGACGAGACTTGTGTTCGGTGCGCAT